GCTGTTAACAGATGTGAGTGTGTGTGTGTGTAGGTGTGTGAGCATATTTCTCTCAACCGCCTTTAATGGAGTAACATGCTTGTTATCGTCTTTGTTCATGAATTATTTCTTGTTAGTAATTGATAGGTTGACCTCATCGTTCGCTTGATAAAATTGACGTGTAAAAGTGCTGCCTTGTAGCCTATTTGCAGAAATAAATTCACTTGTTTCACTTGTTTCACTTGGTTTATTTTGTTATGTGTATGCTTTAGTGTGTCAAATTCAAATTCAAATTAATATCTTTATTGCTAAATGCTTATTGTTGTCCAAATGGTGGCTTGTTCGTCCGCGAGTCACTTAAGGGACCAGCAGAATACCAGCGCAAGTCCTGTCTCGTACATGCTGAACTGGTCCCATTTCACCGCAGACTTGTGACATTAGTAGGTGTTTATAAACTTATGTGTAAAATCTGTATTTGTCACCTGTTTTAGCGTGTGAATTAAAGTTTTTTCTTTCTTTATAGGATATAGAGTAATTACCATCTACTATAAATCCATACAGTCTACTCTATGGAACCTTATCGTTACCTTGCATGCGAGAAACCATTACAGGTATGTTTTTTGGTAATTAGGGCGAATTAATCTTGTGAAGTGACCTTTAGTTAGTACCCATTTTGACCTTATCCCTAAATAGACGGAAACAAACCATTCCCTATTTTTAGCTTTAATCCGTTTACTACACTCGCCTGCACCATCTTTAATAAAGATAATTTATGGTATTTAGGTAGCAATTTGAAACTACAGGTTGAACAGAGAGAGAGAAATAAGTGTTCTTTGATAAACCTAAACATTTTACAGTTCAATCTCCAACACGCCTTAGGAGATTATTTATTTATATGTATGTTGGGTTTTTAAGGGGGGACAATCATCGAATGATTGTTCCCGCCTAGGTGAGGCGGGAGGAAGTGTCAAACTCTAACTGACTAAAAACCACCCCATTCCTACTCCTGCCCTTCGAGCCGGACCCCAGTAACCCATTAGGTACTCCACGGCTCCGTATTGGCATCAGCCCTATTGGGTGCCATTTGTAGTAGTCTGATGGCTCTTTGAGACGCGCGCGGAACGCGACGCGCTGTACGCTCGGGTCTGGTTCTGGTCGGGCTATGAGCCACCCATGCTCGCCGTCGGCTGGGTTGTGAGGAGCATATTCTCATCGCCTCATGCGCCCCGCCTCGTCCTATGTATTTCCTTAAGGGTATAACCTGGGTGTCTTCAAGGCCCTAGCGAATAGGTTGCTTATGTTACAACGTGCTCCATCGTAGACCGCATCATCGCTTACTACCAGGCGAGATAGGGTCAAACGTCGGCCGTTATATTTGATGGGCTCCAGAAGCGGACTGTCACAGACTCGTAGGTTGATGATAACTATAAATAAATACCTACCAAAGAAATTGGTACTACCACTAGGTTAGGTATTTTCTTAATTCTTAACATTTTTTCTGAGATTTTCATGTTATATAATCTGTCGTTCCTACTTATCTTCTCACAGTCTCAGTTAAACTCCAATTATAATGTCAACAACATTTTTATCAAAAAATCAAATTTTCATTTTAGATTTCCCCAAAGAGCTCGGTTCCACTAAATCTAGATTTCCACATTTCAGTATAAGTAATAAGAAAATTCAGTGATCCATTTAGTTATCCAGACTATAAGAATATTTAAAATAAAACGAAGTAAAAGGCGCATAAATAAATAAATACATATTTATTTATGCACCTTTTATTAAGTTTAATCCTGTGAGAGATTGTTACAAATTGAATGTTACATTACATTTGATTATTCATATAAATACCAAAAGTAAGGAAATAAATAAACATATATGATATACATATAACAAATATATATATGTAAAATAAACTAACATAACATAACTTAACATCACGCCTTTTATCCCCGAAGGGGTTGGCAGAGGTGTGCATTATGTCACTGTACAATGTAACACCCACTTTTCACTACATATTTATGTTATGTGTCCCATGTAATAGGGGGTGAGCCTATTGCCATATACCGGGCACAATTCCAGACTCCGTCCTACTACTGAGAATTTTTTTAAACCCAGTAATACTTTGCCCGACCTGGGAATCGAACCCGAGACCCCTTGCCCGGCATTAGCACTTGCGACCACTCGGCCAACGAGGCAGTCTAAACTAACACTAATGGAGAAAATAAAACATTAGCACCTTATTTTCATTACGAAATAGCCAACATAGCCCGGATGGAGTTTTAGCTCCACCCGTTTACTTTGACAACAATAAAATGATATGTAATTCAAACATATAATACATAGTCTTCTACAAATACATAGTCAAGCAATAGTAATATTATTGAGAAACTTTTATTATTGTTTGAGTATTCAAACAACAGTGTATTTATGAATTATTTACAAAACCAACTCGCAGAGAAACCTAAATTATTAAAATACTAGCTTTTACTCGCGGCTTCGCTCGCATCACAAAAGTATAAAAAGTAGCCTATGTGACATATACTAATACACACAGCGCCATCTATACCAATACTTTTGTTTTTCCTCGGGAATATCAATTTTTCCGGGTTAAAAAGTACCCTATTATTTAATCCAGACTTCTAACTTTACGTCTGCAAAAATTCAAAGCAATCGGTTGAGTAGTTACGGCGTGAAGGTGGAACAAACAAACTAACAAACAAACTCACTTCGAACCAATTCGTACAGAAACGTAAATTATTAAAATATTTTATCACCGTCCAACAACAAACTTCACAACACAAATATTGAAAATGGACTCGAACTGAAATTCAGACCTAATATATGTATTTTTCAGCTGAAATTATTCCCGAATACTATGTAGACTAATAGTACTCGTATTAATTGCCTCGAATGTTTATTTGTTGGGGAACAAACTGCGTCGAAACGTTAATAAATCTATGTAGGAAAAGTTAAAGAGACCAATTTGTTATTTTACACATCAATTCCAAAATGTTTTTGTTTAGCAGAACGAATACAAATTCGGTATACTAAAGTTACAAACAATAGTAGGTAGGTAGGTAGGTACCTATTTGTGATTAATTATAATTCTATGGACTCGAAAGTACGAAAGGATTACTTATATACATATTATACATATTATTTGCTGTTTATAATAATAACTAGCTACTTGTGCGCGATTTCACCCGCTCTGCTCGGCTCCTATTGGTCGTAGCGAGATGTTTTATAGCCTATACGCTTTCTCGATAAATGGACTATCTAACACAAAAATAATTATTCAATTCGGATCAGTAGTTTCGGAGATTAGCGCGTTCAAACAAACAAACAAAAAAACAAACTCTTCAGCTTTATAATATTAGTATAGATTACTAACTATTCCCCACGACTTTGTCCGTGTAGATTATGAATTTTAGGACATAACGTGTTCTTGTTTCAATTTTCCAAAATAGAAGTAGCCTATGTTACCCCTTAGTACACCAGCTATCTGCCAATAAAAGTCTTGCAATATCGGTCCAGCCATTTCAGAGATTAGCCAATACAAACAGACAGACAGACAGACAAAAATTGTAAAATATGTGTATAATAATATATCAGTCTATCAGACCACTGCTGACCAAAGGCCATTCTCGAACCGGGAATGATTTGAGCATTAATCACCAGTATTGCTCAATGCGGGTTGGCAATTTCAAACTTATAATTAGAAATTAGTATATTATAAGTCCAGGTTTCCTCACAATGATTCTTTCACCGTTTGTCATAGCTGTCTAAATAATCTTAAAGAGTATATATGGCTTGGAAAACGCCACATTGGTACTTGCCGTTGGTAGGTTATGAACACACACTCCCGATACTTATTACTGATTCCTTTTACCGAACTTTTTACCCATATTTAGTCCATGTTCAAAAACTGATGACACAAAAATAAAAAGAGCAACGAATAGTCCAAGTCCTCTTTGCTAGTGAAACATCAAAAAGGTGCTAACTACGTAACATTTTCGAGAGTTGCCGTTTATTTGTACTTGTTATCAGACAGGGGCTCGTTAAAAACTTCGCCCTCACGCGTCGCGAGTTACATCGTTATCTCAACTCGTAGTTGAAGCTAAACTGTCGTAAAAATACACACGGTTTATGTTATCCTGGTACATTGTATGCGTGTTTGTTCAAATTTTGGATCATAAATGGACTGTTATTTTGTATGTCTCATCCCCTATTACATGGGACTCATAACATAAATAGTGAAAAGTGGGTGTTTCATTGTACAGTGGCATTAATTGCCGAAATGTACACCTCTGCCTACTGGGATAAAAGGCGTTGTTAAGTTATTTTGTATGTAAGTTCGTTTCGGTCTTCTTTAAGTAATCAGTTGGGATATGCAGAAAACATCCGTGTCTAGATTAATAAATTGTGATGGGTAAAAGCGATCTTGCAACCACGTTACGAAATGAATAATGCTTCCATTTTTACTTACTCTAGGTTGCGAAAAGTGGCGCACCCAATAGGCCAATTACTCCTGAATTTGTACCAAAATCAGTCAGATATTTAAAAAAAATACCCAAATAAAAACATACAACACAAATACCCAAAAAATACAAAGCAGAGCCTATAAAAATATCGTCGAAAATCCAATTTATTGAGGCAGAAGGCAACTTAATAAATACAGTATATTGACTGGTAGCCATTTATCATATAAAAATAATATGACAGCGCGTACTTATTGGCATTCAGTACTTGTAGATAGAATCCCCCCTCAATCAAATATTTCTATGGTCAATAGCCAAACGCACACAATACTCGAACTGAATAAACAACTTTTTTCATAGTTATTTATCAAAGAATGATCGACAAGTTCAAGTAGAGGATTTAATGTAGCTTAATCGTGCTTGCAACCATTCGATCAACGAGATAGTTTTCATAAATAAATGAGTTTTTATTCCTTTTTCAAACGCATTTATTTATAAGTGTGGGAGAGCCATGCCAACAACGCTTGCGTTGTTTCGTCGAATGTGTGAGGTTACCGGAGGCCCAATTACCACCCCCCCCCCCCCCTAGTCCTTAATCTCCCGAATCCCCGAATCCTCCACAATCCTCAAATTCCCAATTCCCAAAAGGCCGGTAACGCACTTGTAACGCGTTGGTGTTTCGGATGTCTATGGGCGGCGCCGATTGGTGATCCGTCTGCTCGTTTACCGGCTTATGCTATAAAAAAATTCTTTTCAATTATTCAGAAAACTAATAAAACTACGCCTAATATCTACTTATATAACATCAAATGATTTTTATTCTTTGTAAATACTTTATTTTTGATAACGAAAACTACCGACCCTATGGCGTTCTGTGAGCAAGTACGCCTCCTTCGGGAAATCAGAAGCGGAGTATGTAATGTAAAATCATAGAGCAACTATCCAAAAATAGACCTTTGTACCAACCCACTCGTAGCAACCGCGACAAAATGTCTTACGCAAATAATAATTCAGCCGGCGTTAAAATAAGGGTGAATTTGGTGTAATAAAATTTTCTAGTTAACGAAGTGTGCTTGACACGGGGTACGCTGCGAATTCGGTCGCTCTAACAAGTTTAAACTCAATTTCCGCGCCCAAAACAAGTCATAAATCATAATGTTCACTTGTTTGGACTTACAAAATAGATATTTGAATCAACATAAGTTTGATCAAAGCTGAATATTTGTAGCCCTTATTAACAACTTCGTTAGATTTTGTTTTGTTTACTTCGGTGGTTGTTATTTTTTTAATTATTATTGTTGTTTACTTTCATGTTTAAGTTACTATTTATTGTGTTGCATGTTTGTTTTTATTAAGAAACTTAGAAAAATGACAAGCTTTTAAAATTTAGAATCCTTATTTGAATTTTACGTCGCCCAAGTGGTTGCAAAGCATAAAATATAAAAATCATTTTTTATAATTGTGGCGACACATGACAAAAGTCAGATGACATCATAGACGATCGACGAGTAAATCAACGTGACGACACAAATCCTACATCGCACACGTGAAGTTTACATTCAAATGAACATAGATAGAAAATCAAGATCACCTCGCATGGTCGAAGGATCCTCCTTTTCGAACCTTAGGGAACTTTACTCTCTGTTCCTTTAATAATTAATGATCATACATATATGTATATATACTTACATAACAAGTAGTAAATTATCAAAAGCGAAAAAATATTTTACATCAATGGGTAAACATTGCAACTTATGCGCTACCTCTTGTAATATCGTGTAAATATGAAAGTTCTCGTCTAGTTGAGACCATATATACATACACTCACGCCTGATTCCATTGGGAGTTGGTTAGCAAGCGTAGCAAGCATCACGTAGGTGCTAACATGTTTTTTCGAATTCAATTATGTTCATAGACACAATTAACAAATAGATTGGTTAACTAGATCACATTTGGTTGTTAAAATAATGCATGCACGTACATACATACTTATATTATATGTGGAAGCTTGTTATTACCAAAAAGTACTTGTGGCTCCTTGCTTGACAGTCTCGTTTCCGACCTCTAAACCTAACGCTGTATCTTGAATCATGATTCGGAACTGCAAGATCATTCAATTACAGTACATTAATCTAAATTAATGCACGAAAACTTAAGTTTCCCTTTCAAACCGTCGAAGTAATGAAAGATAATAAATACCAGATTGAATTCGGAACTTATTCTGTCGTTTCTCATTTCGAATCATTTTAATTAATGGTCGCCCTATTTCTGACTCCCTCTCAACAAGTTCTTTAAAGGAAGACGACCATAATTTGTCATTGTTCTGGGACATTTTATTAATTTTCGTGGTTATTCATGTCTGTTATTTGATGAAAATTGATGAGTTTGAGACTGGTATTTATGTGTCTATCTATTGATAGTAATTTGTAAAAAATATTCTATTTAAATTATTTATAGAAGAATAGTAGAAGTTTAACCACGTAGTTAGTGGATTACTGGCTGTGGTAGCTAATGATGGTGTCACTGGATAAATTTAACACCCTTTCTGCGTGTGTTGAAATAGTTTTTTTTTTCAAAAAAGACACTAGATTAGTAATCTCAATTTATTGTGGCTGCTGACAATCAGTCATGTGTGGGACAGTTATGCTTTCGGCACGAATGGGCCAGCTCGACCGAAGTGATACCACGGCCTCACAGAAGCCGCTGTCGATGAGTGACGCCGATTGCTTACCATCAGGTGATCCGTCTGCTCGATTACCGGGTTATGCCATAATAAAAAAGTAAAGCCTAGCTATAGGTATCAAATCGAATAATGAAATTAATTTCTACTAAAAACTCCGAAATGTAGGTCTATCTTTTATAATAACTATCGTGAGACATACTAAATTAAGTAAAAACGCGGGTTACTCACGTGAATATACTGAGAAAAGCTCTACTAGTTTCGAACCACAGAGGGGTTCTTCCTCATGAGCTGCGCGACGTCGCCGCGACCGCGCACGCTGCTCATGAGGAAGAACCCCTCTGTGGTTCGAAACTAGTAGAGCTTTTCTCAGTATATTCACGTGAGTAACCCGCGTTTTTACTTAATGTAGGTCTATCATTTGTAAAAATACATAAAAATAAATATTTTATAAGTTACAGAATCGAGACAGTTCCACAAAGTAAATGACTTTCAACTAAAACGTAGATGTTAATGTCGAGACATTTTGCATTTGTCTCAACAAAAACAAGGCTAGATCTAAGTCATTTATTATTTATGACTAGGGACCAATGTAAGTAGAAAACAAATTTTGGAAAAGACTTACCTTTTATTAATGTATAATTTTACAGAAAACCTTTTAACTTACTAAGAAGATACGGGTCTCTTAAAATTATACCTTAAGTTATTTAGATAAACATTTCAAATTAATATAGGTACGGTATTTGACTAAGGACCAATTTTTCAATGCGCAGATACATTTTTACTAACTTTCAATATTTCACAGATCTTCTATTGTAAGAAAACTGTTAACTGTCAATTTTATTCAACAGTTAAGAATTAACCGAATTAAATTTATTAAGTGCCGTAATTTGCACCTCTGCCTAGCCCTTCGGGGATTAAAGGCGTGATGTTGTGTTATACTTTTTTGTTGTTAAGTGATGATTAAAAAATTGGCACTAAGACAAGCAGTAAACATTTTGTCTTGTCTCAATTTAAAATAAAGTATTTCAAAATCTGAATCAAATTGTACGAAAAGGTGATTATACCTACATTCTTCTTATAAATTCTTTACGGTCTGACTCGCCCTCCAGACTTGAAGATTGTAGGAAATCCTCTAAGGTAGAGGAGACTCATAGTCCAGTCCCGTAAACAGTACGTGCTGTTGACTTTGATACATAACACATTACAGCTCTTTTATGCCATTGTACAATGTAACACCCACTTTTCACTATTTATGTTATGAGTTCCATGTAGTAGGGGGTGAGCATATTGCCATATACTGGACACAATTTCAGATTATGTGATACTAATGAGATTTTTTTTTAAACACCCCGTAATCTTTTGCCCAAAAAACCAAGTACAATCCACGTGTTAAAGAAAGGTATAGGCACCTACTTACCTACCTATATCTATAAATTTTTCACTGGTCCCAGTATTATGGTCGTTCAATATACCTTTTTCGATAGCCCTCAGCATAATAGGAGGACCGTTCTAAAGGTCTGAGCCCTCTCACAGCCCTCTACAAACGTCTATGACGGACAGAGAGACTGCGAATCTTTTAAAAAACATTGGAATAAAAATATTTTCAAATACAAGGTCACAAGCTGCATAATTTGATGTTATTGGCAAAATAGGCCTCAATACTAAACTGTACTGTGTCTTCTTCCTTGGACCAGTAACTTTGGTGAAATACATGATGTTCAATTCATGGATCGGGGACAATATTTCTTACACAACTTTGTATAGACTCTGTAGATGTAAGACCAGCATATTATGTAAAAAAAAATTCTTTTATGAACTTTCTTATACTGTTTTTTCGTCCTTGTTTTAAAAAAAAAACGTTGCCCCACACTAGGAATTTCTCCTGTGTCGTGGGTGCGTTTACAAACATACAAGTTCACATACACAATGACACCCAGACCCGGAACAACAATCTGTGGATCACACAAAGAGTTGTAGATTACACAAACTACGTTTAAAGAAACTGACATAAACCTCCTTTTTAGAAATCGGTTAATTAATATACTAACCTAGGTATACTAAAACCTTCTACTAAATATAACAAACAGTTTTCTGGAAACCAGATCAATCTGTTCATCCAATCGCGAGATAATGGCGCACTTTCAAAGTCAAAATCATTTATTTCAATTAGACCAGAAAGGCACTTTTGAACATCACCAAAAAAATTACAAGTCAAGCTATTTGCACATTCCAAGGTGCAGATTCCCATAGAGAAGAACGAGCAAGAAACTCCATAGGTTATTCTTTTTCAATCACGTTCACAATACAATTCTCTAGTTACCTACATAGTTTTGTTGTTTGGATTGTGCGAGAACAATGTAACACTAAAATCCAGTCAAAGAGATCGAAAAAAATTACCTTAAAGGACAGTATATAATATACATACATACCTCTACATACACACATAGATACATACAGGTCGAACTGAGAACCTAACTTTTTTGCTATACGCACAGTCTGTTAAAAATCTAGTAAAATGACGGATTATATAAAAATATGAATAAAATTAAAAACTAAATAACTTTGTACCGACCGTGGTACACAGTAGTAAACATTATATTCAATATTATAATACGCAAAAGTGCATAAATATATTATCTCCACATTGACAACATCACACTAACAACGAATAGATTCATCAATTATCACATCACAAATATACAAAACATGGAAACCAATTCCCCCACACTGAAACCTAAACTCTAACACTAGTAGAATAAGACATAAATTGAATTAACAGGCGGGTGTGTGGTCGATTCTTAGTTTAATTTTAACGGGAAGGTCAAATGCGTTTATAAACACACAGCCGACTAGCAGTATAGTAGTTTAGTCCATCGGAATTATTCATTCGTCTATTCGCTCTAGTGAATGAAGAACTAGTTTATCATTCAATAACATTTAAAACTAAAACAAATTGCGCTTATTCGACATTTCTATCAAAAATCTTTGATTACGTATTATAGAAATTGATGCAATTAATATTTTCGTTGTTCAATACGTACGTAATACGTTTATCAGAGTGTAATCACTATTGTGGGTGCCATGTGATATCTTTGCCTTTAAAAGTAGATATATTCATTGGACGATAACATCGCTGAGGTATACTGTGAACACCATTCAGTGACTAACTATACAAACATGCAGACGACTAAAGTGAAACCGTTCGAGTTGCTCAAACTAGTATCTATCAACAAGGAGATTACGAGGTTAGTTGCCATTTCAATACTTAATTGAATCTCTCTTGTTACTGGCAGATATTACAATTAAACTGACGTTCATTTGTTTATTTATCTATTGATTATTAGAAATCTAAGAACTATTAAACCGGTTTTTAATTGTGAACTATAGGTAGTTATGTATCTTTATCTTTAAGCCCAATTCATTCAGTTCAATCGTTCATTCAGATTCAATGTCAATAACAAAGTACGTAATAATCAGCTGTATGACAACCGAATTCATGATGCTCAATTATGTCAATCATCGAATTTATATTCACGCTCAGAAAATACTGCACCAAATTTGATAATCTTTTCTTGTTTGTTATTATTTTTTGCATGACACAATATAAGTATTAATTCAATGGAAACGTCAGGATATGTCACACAAACGATGCTACGATAACTTTATAAACAAACAGTTGATTGTTTAATTAGGTAGATTATTCATTATTCTATTAATTTAGATAAGCATATCGCAGAACATGTTAGATATACTTACGTTTATATTGTATAAACGATAAAGAGAGAGAAACTATACAGATTCTTTCTCTCTCTCTTCTCTAAGAATCACTTTGATTGTTTGTTTTACAAATGTGGTTATTTGCTTCTTTGCTGGAGAAGCTCGAAGGTGGGATCTAAATTTGTTCCAGTTTGCATTTTCAGTGTTGTAGACTCGCGCTGTTTTGGGTTTTGGGGGTTCTAATGCTTTTTCTAATTGCAAGTCAAACCGTCAAACGTAATGGCATTGTGGTGTTAGCTGCAAGTCAAACGTAATGGCATTGTGATCAGAAGTAGTAAGGTCTCTATTCACCATCCAGTTCTTAACTTTTGTTAGTAAGGGTGTAATGCAGGCTGTAACGCCCATTATACTTTTAAAAAATCGATCCCTTCTGAGCCCTTTTAAAGTTGGTGTGTACCCTGTGTTGAGAATATGGAGGTCTGTTTCGTTTAGGAATGAATGGTTGTCTATTTTCCTCTAGTTTTCCAAGGCATTACCCGTCTTGTATGAATGTAATTTCATAGCAATACTTAAAATGCAAATTCGCCTGTCTGCAAATATCACCTGTTGACACCCATTCTAGTCTTTGGACCTTATTAGGATAACACATGATTGTAAAATCACCATCATCTTGTGGCCAGTTTGGGGTTAGTCATTTCATCAGTTATAACTGTAAGTAATCTAATATCAAAGCAACTCTTTCTAACTCGCTGTCAGGTTCAATTCTAGGATTGGATCCATCAAGAGATCTTTTCTTACTTTTCTCTTTTTTATACAAACAACGTGGCCACACATTAGAATTTTCTTATGTGTCTTGATTGCGTTACAAAATAACAATTTGTGAATTAGACAAATATTTCTTTTATGTAGGAATCAAGCCCTCAATTGCCCAACCACTCGCCAATAATGCAATTGCATGCGCATACTCGTGCACTTAAACGTGCATTTTGTATGATTATGATAATATTTATCTTTCATGTATTTCAGGAGAGTAGCTGTAGCAAGTACTACAGTCAATTCGGACACAAATTTGAAATCATGGAAGGAAATTCCTGGACCTCCTTCCTTGCCAATTATTGGCCAATTACACAATTTTTTGCCTGGAGGTGAGTTTTAGTATAACTTGCAATATGTCTACTATAATTGGGTAGTTTCCAGGGTATCAAAATTAAAAATCTGATTAGTCCGTCAGTTAGATAAAGAAAAAATATTAGACATGTATTTTTTTTATTTTCTCGTATTAAGTTGCAATACTTAGATAAAATGGCGCTAAGTTTAGGAGAGGGAGGTCGTGACGTCATAGCGTGCTACAAAATGTGGCACGCTGTGACGTCACACGATATTTCAAATTAATATGTCGTCGAAAGTATTTAATTTTGTAAGAAAAGAAAAAATACGTGTCTAAAGTTTTAAATTAATCTACCAGACGGACATTAAATGAAATTTAGGAAACTACCCTATTATAGACAAATACGTTACATGATTTTAAGCTGGAATCTAAGATTTTGATTTGTACCTACGCCTGTTATATTTATTCAGACGGTGATAATTACTACTAACTGCTTACATAAACATCGAGTTATTTGTTTGTATTAAAATTTTCACATATTATGTATATGGAAAACCCAGTGTTTATATTTTATCTTTTTATAATAATTTCACAGCTGTTTTCTAGAAGTACCTCTACTTAATGTAAAAAAAATCCTTTTTATATGTTAGTTTTTTAACACGTTAACCGCCGCGTAGGTCACCGGTGACCTACGTTAGCTGAGGATTTGCCTTCAGCAGTTTTCTTACGGCAGTCAAAGGCTTAACCTTCGAAAAACATTTGTTTCTTTTTTATCTTTATTCATTTATGGTCTTTCAATCACACAAAGACTATGGCAAACCCATCATTCCCTAAACGTACTTAACAAAACTTACATTTACTTAAATACTACTCGTATTCACTATTTTTATATCAAGATAGCTGCTTTAGATAAAAGGTGTGACAATATACTATGAAAAACGTCGCGGAGAACCTAACGGGTAACCGGGGCTCCGGCTCGACGTGCAGGAGAAGGAACGGGGTGTGTTTTCAGTCAGTAAGAGTCTGACACTCCCTCCCGCCTCACCCAGGCGGGAGCAGTGATTCGATGATTTTCCCCCCTTAAAAAAATACTATGAAAAACACCAACTTCTAATAAATTTGTTTTGTAAAATTATTAGTCTTGACCATGGTTATTTAATCTATATCATCTTAGCCATTTAATTATCTGTAAAATTTTGTAACGTTTGTTACAGGTCAACTACATAACATCGAAGTAGTGGACACCACTATGAAATTATTCCAAATGTATGGTCCAATCATAAGACTTGATGGACTATTAGGAAAGGCACCCATGATAGTACTGTTTGATCCAGAAGCTTCTGCCCATGTAAGTAGAACATTCTGACTTAAAATACTATTTAAGAGCACGTTTACTGTCTTTTGTAGATGACAATTTTTTATTTTAATGTCCGTCTGGTAGATTATGGAAAACAATAGACACGTATTTTTTCTTTTCTTATGGAATCGAAGAGTTTCGAAGATATATTGATTTGAAATATCGCATGACATCACTTTTAGTAAACTTTTAGAAACAGGTGGGTACTTTTAGAAACAAACAATATTGCGTATTAACTTTTTTCTTGTCTAATCGGGGGAACTCTTTATCACCAACGACTGAAAGTTACAAAAATAATTTGGACCATAACAAACTGTTGATAAAATTGATAATTTTATGCTTTGTAAGCATCTAAAAATACATAAATAGATTCATGTGCGATAAATTTAATCATTAAACATCTGTTTCATAATAACAATGTTCAGTGACTTAACAGAAAACTGGTTGACAGGCCTTCGACAATGGAATTTCCAATCAAAACTAGTATTAACTAGATTAATAAAAGAAAACATGTTTTGTCATGAATTATGAGTGCACCTCTATTTTCACAGGTATTACGAAGTGAGAACTGGCTGCCGATTCGACCTGGATTCGTATCACTTGAGTATTATAGAAAAGTATTCAAGAAGAAGTTTAATAAGGATCATAATGCTCAAACTACTGGTCTTGTTACTGAGTAAGTTAACACTAATGTAGCAGATATTACTCTTGAGTTACATGACAGATCGGATGCCGCGCAATGTGTAGCGGGTTCATTCTATTCCCGCACGGAGCAGCGCTTTTTGTGATCCACAAATTGTTGTGTCATGTGTATGTGAACTTATATGTTTATAAACGCACCTACGACACAGGAGAAAATCATAGTGTGGGACAACGTTTTATTTAAAAAAAAAACACATATTCTACTTAATCGTATAAATTCAGCGCCTCTTCCTTATTTTTATTTCTTCATTAGCAGCTGAGAAAATGAAGAGTCACTCTGTAACTCGAATCTAGTAACTCAGTGCTTTTCTCAGCATATTTATGTCAGTAACTCGTAATTTTTAGTTAATTATTACGTCTCACTAACATTATTATAAAAACAAGTCAAAAAACTGAATAATTATTCACGTATATCTTTTACAGTCACGGCGAAGTATGGAAAGAGTTCAGATCAACAGTCAATCCAGTGATGTTGCAACCGAAAACAATCAAACAATATACCACAGTACTCGATGAGGTGGCGCAAGATATGATCGCAAGGTATGAAACCAATCAAATAGAGAATATATTTAATTTCTCCATTCAAAAAGTAATGTTAAAATTATTAAATTATGTTTACAGGATGAAAGCCAATCGTAATGAAAAGAATATGATTAAAAATGAATTCGATAAAGAAATGAACTTATGGGCCTTAGAGTCTATTGGTACGGTGGCTCTTGGCTGCCGACTGAACTGCTTCGATCCGAACCTTCCTGCAGACTCTCCGGAGTGGCAACTTATCCAATGCGTCCACGATCTGTTTGTTACTGCTAATAAACTTGACTTCCAACCAAGTTTTTGGAGATATTTTGCTACACCAACGTACAAAAATGCGATGAAATTGTATGAGCATCATGAAAAGTAAGCATGTCTTCTGCATTTTCTCTAAATATATATAGGTCCTGTATTATTACTTAGAAGTTTCTGAGCCCTAAGGTTATCCTTAGGGCTCAGAAACTTCTCTTAAAGATCTGTGATGGTGAAGTCCTTGACGGACCATGGCAAATGTAGCTTAGTCTTTAACATCTTCATTTATTGGCTTCAGCTTAACAAAACACTTCTTGAAGAAGGGAAAGGAGCAACTAAAGAGCAATTCTGGTGGAGAGAATGGTGTACTAGCAAAATTATTGGCGATCAATGAAGAAGTAGCTCACATAATGGCCAGTGACATGTTATTTGCTGGCGTAGACACGGTACTTACAATAACAAATATTATTGTTTTGGCGTAAACTGTTATCTAATATGATGATGATAAAATATTGATTATTCATCATCCTTTATCAGCAATGTACTTGACTCACAGACGTTGTGTGTTTGAGTTATATCATTTTCTGTTTACATGCAATTATTTTAAACTATACCTAAACTTTTAGACGACAAAGCTGGTTGTGTTTTATATTAAAGAACAGTGTGGTATATTCTAATTCTTCTAAAGGGAAAATCGAGCCTAGATGATCGTGCCTCTTCAAGAATTGCATGTTGCTTGTTCAAGAATTGTAATAAGTAATCGAAAATTTATTTTAAATATGTTATATTACAGGCAGCAAATACAGTAACCGCAACACTTTATCTTCTGGCAACAAATCCAGAAAAGCAAGATAAGTTAAGAGAAGAAATACGGTCGGGCTCTGATCGTAGATACCTGAGGGCATGCGTCAAAGAATCATTACGAATGATGCCAGTGGTGTCAGGCAATTTGCGAAGAACCACCAAGGAATACAGTTTGATGGGTTACAAGATACCTAAAGATGTAAGTGTGGTCTTTCTCTTGAGTTTAAATTTCCATCTTATTGATATATTCATCTCCTAGGTAGGACCTATATACATATACCAAATCGATTTTGATTTCATCAATATCAAGATATGATTAGATACAAAACTAAAAATCACTTGCTGTATCCTATGTTTATTTATTGATTGATTTATTTTATACTTTATTGCACACACACAGAAAAAAATGTATACACTGTAATAGTAATTTGAATACAATCACACGCGACAATTTCTTGTAGACCACCTTTGGATAGAATTTCTGAAAACAATCTGGGAATGGACAATAATGCAGAAGTTGCACAATAATGTAAAAGGAAAAGATAGAAGAGAAAAAAATAGTCATCAATAAAATTGCCTATTTTTTTATGGCATAAGCCGGTAAACGAGCAGACGGATCACCTGATGGTAAGCAATCGGCGTCGCCCATGGACACCTGGAACACCAGAGGCGTTATATTGGCCCTATTACCTATCGTTATCAAAATAGTTCATATATCTTCCATAGATGGATGTGGTGTTCGCTCACAGAGACATGTCGCTGTTAGAGGAATACTTCCCAAGGGCCAAAGAGTACATTCCAGAGAGATGGATAACCAGTAAAGATGATGCCCTTCACTATGGAAACACACATCCGTTCACGCATCAACCGTTTGGATTCGGCGCCCGAAGCTGTATAGGTAATGGACAATTTTTTTTATTTTTTTTTTCTCAAATAATTTTTATATTTTAAATGAGACCTTGTGACAGTACGTTATTAGCAATCCAACTAACTAAAATAATGAATAGACTGCCTCGTTGGCCGAGTGATCGCAAATGCCACTGCTGGGCAAGGGGTCTCGGGTTCAATTGCCGAGTCGGAAATTACTGGGTTTAAAAAAAATATCTTTAATAGCACGGAGTCTGAAATTGTGTAAGTATATGGCAATAAACTCAACCCTATTACATGGGACTCATAACATAACATAGTGAAAAGTGAGAGTTATCAAGTAGGTACAGTGGTATTAAGTGCCGTAATGTGCACCTCTGCCTACCCCTTCGAGGATAAAACGACGTGATGTTATGTTATGTCAAAAGAATTAACATGACACGTTTGACAGAGACACAATAAAAATAATCTCTAATAAGCTAGTTTAACTAGCTCAGTAGTCGATCTTGTTGACTCAACCAACAAATTGAGTCTAATCGTTGAACACATATCGAATCAGCGGGGCATTCCACTTTGCGCACCTAAATGAAGCGCACCCAGACGAAGCGCACCTAAAGTATTCCACTTTGCGCACCTGTAGGTGCGCTTAAAATAAAAATTTTAAATAAATAGTTTTTCTATTCCACGAAGCGCACCTACGAATATCACTCGCATAGTGCGGAGACTAAGAAATAAAAATATCGATATAAGAACATATTTATTATTTAAAAGACTAACTTAAATTTCTAACATCTGTCAGTTTCATTATAATAATGTTATTATATTTTAAATATAGTTTTCATGTTTAGTGAATAATAAAAATACTCTACTTTAACATAAAAAATCACAGATTGTTTCATAATTACAATAAAAACATGGACAAATATCAAATATTGTGTCACATTATTATGATGAAACTGAATGATGTTAGAAATTTAAGTTAGTCTTTTAAATAATAAATATGTTTTATATCGATATTTTTATTTCTTAGTCTCCGCACTATGCGAGTGATATTCGTAGGTGCGCTTCGTGGAATAGAAAAACTATTTATTTAAAATTTTTATTTTAAGCGCACCTACAGGTGCGCAAAGTGGAATACTTTAGGTGCGCTTCGTCTGGGTGCGCTTCATTTAGGTGCGCAAAGTGGAATGCCCCGAATCAGCCCTTCATCATATACTCTTCAACAGCATACTTAATGTTCTTTATGTCTCCTCAGGTCGTCGCATAGCGGAATTGGAGATGGACATCTTCGTAGCTCGCTTGATCGAGAACTTCCAAGTAGAATGGTTCGGTCCACCACCGAAGATACAACAAGAATCTCTCAATTACATCAAGGGACCTTTCAACTTCATATTTAACGATGTTAAGAAATAAAGTAAATCCTTACTATATATATATTATTATTATTTCAGGGTATTCCCTTATTCTCGAAATTATAACAATAGACGACTAATTTTTATTTTAATGTCCGTCTGATAGATTATTTAAAAACATTAGACACGTATTTTTTATTTTCTCACAGAAACGAATAGTTTCGAAGATATATTGATTTGAAATGTCGCGTGACGTCACTTCTCAGTACATTTTATACTAAGAAATGACGTTTTAACCCCCACTCCTAAACTTTGATTCGTTTTATCTAAGTATTGTTTTATTATACGACAAAATAAAAAAATACGTGTCTAATATTTTTTCATTACCTAACTTACGGACTAATTATATTTTTAATTTTCATACCCTGTCATCATCCCCATTATGAGGTTCACGGGCCTAAACCAAGTGAACCTCATGGGGTACCTTGTTCGGTGGTCTTCTTGCAAAAACTTCCTCACAATACGACATGTGTTCAGCACAATTGCGGCTTTCTGCATTGTTGTGTATATTATTATTTATTATTAATATTATAAATCGGAAAGTGAGTTTGTTTGTTTGTTTGTTCCGACTTCACGCCGTAACTACTAAACCGATTGCATTGAATTTTTGCAGACGTAAAGTTAGTAGTCTGGGTTAAATAATAGGGTACTTTTTATCCCGAAACAATTTGATATTCTCGAGGGAAAACAAAAGTATTGGTATAGATGGCGCTGTATGTATTGGTATATGTCACATAGGCTACTTTTTATCCTTTTGTGATGCGAGCGAAGCCGCGGGTAAAAGCTAGTGTAATATATATGTAAATGTTAATGAAATGTATCTACTCAACTATAATAATGTATGAAATTATAGATATGTAATGAATATGTTGTGACGTTCTCAATGTGTAATTTACATTTAAGTTGTGTGACTGCCTCGTTGTCCGAGTGGTTGCAAGTGCGACTGCCGGGCAATGGGTCTCGGGTTCGATTTCCGGGTCGGGCAAAGTACTAGGGTTTTAAAAAAAAATCTCAGTGATAGCACGGAAGTCTGGAATTGTGCCCGGTATATGGCAATAGGCTCACCCCCTATTCTATGGGACTCATAACATAAATAGTGGAAATTGGGTGTTGCATTGTCGAGTGGCATTAAGTGCCGTAATGTGCACCTCTGCCTACCCCTTCAGGGATAAAAGGCGTAATGTTATGTTATTGTGTAAATAGCGTACTAAATTATATTATGTGACGGAGTCTTGTTATACCAATTAGTTTTCTTTTAAGCACTGAATACATAAAACAAGGTTTGCCCTAATTACCTAACTAGGTAACCAACTGCAACTTTGCCGGTTGCAAATTCTATTTTTTTTTCTGTAGTATATTTCGATAACAGTCCCAATATTACTAAAAAAAATATGTTACTCATAAAAAAATAACTTTCGAATGGTAAAGAAAGTTTTGAAAACGATTCATTACTTTTTGAATAACGAACAAACAATCAAATATTTTTTTTAAATATTAATTGCGTAGATACCTACCTATTATAGCAAAGTAAACTGTAAATAAACGTACCTACCCATGTATAAAGATATTTTAATAAGTATTACTGTTGAGGAAAATAGCTATTATAATAGTATAGTAAAAATAATAGTTAATAAAATGTTGTGATATTTTTGTACCTAATATTTATTTTTTTAATAAATAATTTATTTAAAAATCCGTTTATGTACTTATTTACCAACCTTAAATTAATTCCTAGACCTAAGTCAAAAATAGACTTTGTGCGTATATCTGGGTATAGGACAAATAAAATAATCTCCGCATCACTAGGTACTTGATTGAATGATGACCGAACGACTAGTCCGACCCGAAGAGGTGACCACTATTACATAAGATACGTAACAACACAAAAACATCAAATCTAACAACCAATAACCAACCTTATCACAATACAACAGGGTTCCTAATCTAAAAAAACAACACTGACATATTATAAAACGATTGAGTTTAAAGCCGGTTAAATAGTATCCAAGGTCATAATACTTCAAATACGTCTCGCTAGAACGCACAATACCTACACATCATTAACTGGTTTACCGAAAAACAGAACGAGTAATGTTACAACAGAACTATTATAGAAGCCGTTGCTATATGTCGCTTTAAAAAATAAAAATAAAAAATAATAATACGTTCCAATTTCGAAATTGGTTTATTGAACGACAAAATAAAAAAAACTTACGCGCCATTTTAAAAACAAAAATATTTACGCGTTCGAAATTCGAAACAAAAATATTTGGATTCACGTACCTATTATTATTAGCCAGAGATATAGATAATAAAATTGTGAGTGTACCAACGTGCCTATTTAAGTACAAGTGACATGATAACGAATATTAAATAAATAATAATACCAGTCTGTGATTGTGTTATTCTCTGATCAACAACATAAACATGCAGACGACGAAGTTGAGACCGCTCTTCCAGTTGATATCTATTAACAAGGAAGTTATAAGGTAAGTGCAGTTTTTTTTTTCGTTCCGTAAATAAATAGTATTGTCTATGACCGGTGCGTGATTTATGTTATACCGAACTATGTGCGTCAAATAAAGATTTAGAATGATTACATTAATACATAGTGCTTTGTTATTGTTTTCATTTTAATGAATATAGTGAAGAGAAGATTTTCTCCGATTTCATAACGAAGATTCTTCTCTCATTATTTGTACTTTTGCCTCATAATTATATTAATAGTTTTACATATAGACGCTTTATTTTTTTAATTCTATAATCAACATAACCTACCTCTAAATACAGACTACATACCCTCACGCCTGTCTACCACGGGGGTAGGCAGAGACTATGGAATTATAAAAATTGTTCCTCTTTTGCTTCCTCAATAGTCATCATCAGTCTTTTCGTACATGCAACGTAACAATAACCTTAAATTTATTATCACACTATTATAGTTATCAGTCAAACGATAAACACAGGGCATTGTTTTTCTTAACCGATTAAAATAATTTCTCGGTCGAATGATTGTACGCATCTAAGTACCTATGTGTATGTAGACGATAAATATTTGTTACTAGCTGACCCAACAAAGTAAGTACCGCCTCAAAAATATTTTTTCGCCTTTTAACCCTTCCCTGGACTTTTACACATAATTTAAGACCAAAATTACCCAAATCGGTTTAGCCGTTCTCGAGTTTTAGAGAAACTAACGAACAGCAATTAATTTTCTTTTATTTAATTTTAATTAATTTTTATCTTTTACCGAGTTATAGTGTCACTTAAATTGTACATATTATTTATATTTTTTTCCCTTCCTTATGTTGTATATACCTCTACATATCTCAGTTTTAATAAAAAGTTTATATTAAATAAAAAAACAGTAATTGATTTTTAAATGCATATGGAAATTTGTTAAGTAACTACAAAAACATACGAACACGTTTGAACGATATTTGGACTGTTTATATACAAAATTTCGAGGTTCATTACTTATTAATGGAAAAAAATCATAAATGCATGAAAATTATTTAAGTTTACTTCTAGTAAAACGAATTTTCTTAAATTTAATGCGAGCATGGTGTAGACTGTATGAGGAAGTACTTAGATGTTTTTCTTAAAAGTCAAATCGAACAAATGTCATCGTAAATCTCGTACAACCATTTAGATTATAAGTACCTATTGCTTTTTGTTTGATAAGTAATTAAATTACAGGACTGTAGCAGTCGCCAGTACAGCGGTGAAGACAGAAGCCTTAAAACCATGGAACGAGATCCCAGGACCACCATCATTGCCCATCATTGGCCAAATACATCATTTCCTTCCCGGAGGTAGGTACTTCACACGTTATCTAACGACTGACACGAAAATAACCGAGGTCATCACTTTTGGCCTAGTGGACGCAAGTCCGACAGCCGGGCAAGGAGTCTCGGGTTCGATTCCCGGGTCGGGCAAAGTATTACTGGGTTTTTAAAAAAAATCTCAGTAGTAGCACGGAGTCTGGAAATGTGCCTGGTATATGGCAATAGGCTCACCGGAAATAGGCTCATATGGTAAAGTGGGTGTTACTTCTATGTGCACCTCTGCCTACCCCTTCGGGGATAAAAGGCGTGATGTTATGTTATGTATGTTTTTTTTCCTAATATAATTTCTCCACTTTTCTTTAACTTTACCATTCGAGACGAATGCTAATTTATAAGTTATTATTGTTATTAATTAATATTAAACCGTTACTATATATATAAATAACCTTCATATTAATTAGTAATTACCACAGTTTCACGTTGGCATGACATATATCATTAAGATTATAGGTACAAATTCTATAATAACATCGTTATTTTATCAAGTAGGTACTCGCACAACGACTAAATAAGCAAGTCCGCTTAGGTACCTATGATTCCTGGATCAAACAAAATATAATCATCATAGGTAATAATTCACGATTCAGTATCCAGTAACAACATGAAGCTAGTCTATTCATCATTAACAGCCTATAAATGCCCACTGCTGAGCAAAGCCTCTTCTCACACGGAGAAGGTTTGAGAATTAATCACCACGCTTGTTCAATGCGGGTTGGTGATTTAAAACGTATAATTAGAAATTATAAATCCAGGTTTCCTTACGATGTTTTCCTTCACCGTTTGTCAGTGGTGTCTAAATAATCTTAGAAAGTACATAATTGACTCGGAAAAAGTCACATTGGTACTTGCCGTTGGTAGGTTTCGAACCAGCACCCTCATGTATGAGAAGTGCGTCATAAACCTCCGGGCCACCACGACGCGACGCTCTATTATATGGTACTTATACCAATGTCAAAATTGGTAAAACAATCCTTTCAACTATAGGAGTTCTAAAGACAATTTCGATGATGTCATAATTATCGATTACAGGCACTTTCGGTGACATGAAAGACCCGGACACTATAATGAGACTGCTCGACACTTATGGACCAGCTGTAAGGCTGGACAGCATGCTGGGCAAGCCACCTCTTCTCTTCTTAAGCGATCCTGATAGCGCGGAACTTGTAAGTATTTTTTTAAGGGTGGAAAATAATCGAATGACTGCTCCCGCCTGGATGAGGCGGGAGGGAGTGTCAGACTCTTACTGACTAAAAACTACCACGTTCCTCCACCTGCACGTCGAGCCGGAGCCCCGGTAACCCGTTAGGTTCTCCACGACTCCGAATCGGCATCAACCCTGTTGGGCCCCATCTGTGGTGGTCTGATGGCTCTTTGAGGCGCGCGCGGAACGACCTGTTTCTGGTCGGAAGGGGAGCCACTTATTGTTGGCCGTCCGCAGGCCCGCGCTTACGGCGGCCGGAGATCGTCCCGCGATCCCCGACGCCCGGTGTGTCCTTCACGATGGCTGGGTTGCGAGGAGGCAGCGCTTCGCTGCCTCACGCGTCCCGCCTCCTCCTCCTTAACTTGTAAGTATGCGATGCCTTATTCTCAGTAGATTAAAATAATAATTTAATTACTATTTTAATAAAAAAAATTGTAAGTATGTCTTTGAAGTAACTAGAAGATTCTTTGATGAAATCTTTATATATTTTAGCCCTAAAAATGTAATTTTGTGCCCCGAACTTTCCATTAATAATATATCTAGAAGATGTTTTGATGTATTCATTCATACAACGTGTCCATCTTACGTTGATTATTTTCGAGTTGTCGACCAATGACCCCATAAGAAGCCACCAAAACGCAAGAAACTAATTATGGATAGGTACCATTTTGCTTTACAAAAAACCCAAATGCAATAATAAAAACTCTTAACTGCCTAGTCTACAAGCAGTCACCGGTGAACGTTCCCTTATAGATCTTATTTCCGATGTTTAGAGACTACTTTCGTATGAACAAATGTTATGGACTCTTCACAATCAACCGCAATTACATAGAATCATATGAAACAAAAACTGACAGACTATAAAGTACTCAGGTAATACGTCATTACATAAAAACAGCGTCAAAATACACGTTCAAAATACCACAAAACATCTGTTTATTGTTTGATAATAACAACTAATAAAAGCAAGTCATGTTGACTTTGACTTCTAATCACATAAATACCAATTTTATTAATCATCAACATGTTTATACGCACATAACTACGGAACTACTAGATCAAATTGGATAATTCGGGTTTTGTCGTATTCGCATTATCATGAAAATCTGAAACATACATTCAAGGCATTTATCAGGAATTTAAAATAGTTATTTAAAAATTTAAAGTTATATATTTTGTTCACGTGTAACTCCTTAACGCCCGAACTGCTCGATCAAAAACGATATTTATAATTATTAATATCGCGTTCATTATTGTCTGTGTGCGGTACTAGAATACTAAGTAGCCTATGTGACTAAACTTTATCCTACCTCTATTCCAATTTTATCTATTTTATGACGTATAGAAGCCGGTAAACGAGCAGACGGATTACCTGATGGTAAGCAATCGGCGCCGCCCATGGACACCTGACACACCAAGGCGTTACAAGTGCATTTGTGAATTGGTAATTTGAGGATTGTGGAGAATTCGGGGATTGGGGAGACTGGGGAAGGGGGACCATTGGGCCTCCAGTAACCTCACTCAGACGATAAAACACAACGCAAACGTTGTTTCACGTATTGGTTTTCTGATATCGCTCCGTGCCGTAGTAGTATCTCTCCCACACTTAAAATCTAGATTTTTCCAAACATTTTGACGTGACTGATAAAGAAATTATAATCAAAACTTTCAGTTTAGTAACTTTTAAGAAAATCTGGACACAATACGAAGTTGGAGCGATACACTAAATTGTTTTTAAACAGGTTTTGAAAATACATAACCGCTCTTTAGATTATTACTAAACGAATTATTTACTCATCAACATTATGTCATTAACCCACTTCTGACCTGTTAAGTACTAATCATATTGTAATTTGTAAATTCATTATGGACATAATATTACACAATACATATTAATACGACTAAAATAATTATTTGTCTAATCCCATATTCCAATTTAATAAGGGGGCATGGAGTTTCTTACCCGTTCTTCTCCATAGGGATATATTTACACCTTGGAATTAGCAAATAGCTTTACTTTTATTTTTATTTTTTTGTTGATGTTCAAAAATGACATTCTGTGTGCTTTCTCTTGAAACTAATATCAATATCAATGCAATTTTAATCCAATAAACTCTCAATAATTATTCAATGTCAAACCTATACAACCCAAAACGTAACTGTTAAAATGGTATTGGTTTGGCTTTATATTCTGAACAGAGTATTTAATTGATTTAATATCCACGCAATACGGATGCAATGGGCGCTAGTGTTGTAACTCAAGAGTACGAAATTTCACAATACCAATGTCGATCGATCGGAATTGGATTCAAGAGTAAGCCTAATTGAAATAAATGATTTTGACTTTGACTTTCAACGCGGGTATCACAATGTATTCATACATTCTTCCTCTAAGCCTGTCTACAGGATTCTATTGCAAACACGTTTTTACGCGACTGTGCAACAAGAAGTGTATTATGTGTGAAGGGGTAGGCAGAGGGCACATTACAGCACTTAATGCCACTACAATGTAACAAACACTTCACTGTTTATGTTATGTGCCTATTGCCATATTGACCGGGCACAATTCTAGACCCCGTGCTACTACCGAGATTTTTTTTAAATCCATTAATAATTTGCTCGACCCAGGAATTAAACACCCCCTTCGAAGCCCCCTTGCCCGGCAGTTGCACTTACGACCACTCGACCAACGAGGCAGACAAAGAACCAATGCATACCTAATTAACTTATGTATTGTAAACATTCATTTTTAAAACTATATGTAGCTATGTATGTATAACAAGACACTCAGACATGAACACACCAGACACTTTACTGTACTTGGAAATAAGAATAAGAAATAAGAACAAGAAATAATTTATTTATAAACCAGTTACAATTGTACAATTTGACCTGTCAGAGCCGCACTAGGCATAGCCTGTATCGCGGCTATCAAACATAATCAGTTTACCACCTGTTTACGACAAGACTTTGCATGCTTACTCTAATATACTATATTAAATTGAAATCGTGGTGGCCCGGAGGTTTAAGACGGCACTTCTCATGCTGAGGATGGGGGTGTGAAACCTACCAACGGCAAGTACCAATGTGACTTTTTCCGAGTTATATGTAGGTACTTTCTAAGATTATTCAGACACCGCTGACAACGGTGAAGGAAAACATCGTGAGGAAACCTAGACTTATAATTTCCAATTATAAGTTTGAAATCACCAACCCGCATTGAGCAAGCATGATGATTAATGCTCAAATCTCCGTTTGAGAAGAGGCTTTGCTCAGCATTGGGCATTTATAGGCTGTTGATGATGATGAAGAAATTGAAATGTGAGAAGATGCGATGAATGTGTGTAAAGTCTGTGTTTATTAGTGTGTATTTGTTGTGTGTACTGTGTGTAGTAAAGATAAAATAGGTATCAAGAGAAACTTCGAAGACACTGTTCTATCTCATGGTAATTCATATTGACTCCACAAAACCGGGCTGATGACGATGATGATGATATTAAACAAACCTATTTTAAAATGTTATTATTCAAGTACATAATGTACGCACATAAGAAAACGTGATCACTATCTGATAACATTATAAGTGAGATAATTCTTATCATAGATAAGTACGACCACGACCTTTTGAATATTCAAGTACATAACAATACGATTATTCGTAAACATATCATTTGTAGTGAAAAGAAAAATCCTTGATACAATTCGTTTGTTGATTTTTGTCATGGGCAGTGGTTATGTTCATGCAAGTCAACTTAGGAACTTTTTTTTTCATTTTTACGGTGAACTATGACTTCGGAATTGCAATAGGGATAAACACTTAAGCACTGTTTATATCATACATTGTTTTCTTTCTTTCAATTCTAAAATTATTAAGTAGTATAATTGGTTTTAAACCGACTTCAAAAAAAAAAGGAGGAGGTTCTCAATTGAGAAATTGTCAAAAAATACAGTAGAATTCTACTGTATTTTTTGTACCTTACATTAATAACATACCGTTCATATAAATAAATAAAATAAATACATTGGTACAAATGAAATATGAAAAATGTTGACGAATAACGAAAATAATACTTAGATAGGTACTTTATTTGAAGCCTCCAGGCTAAGCCTACCTCAACAGTTAGGTCTAGCCAAACAGCCAAACAAAATGTCGCGGAGAACCTAACGGGTAACCGCGGCTCCGGCTCGACGTGCAGGAGAAGGAACGGGGTGGTTTTTAGTCAGTAAGAGTCTGACACTCCCTCCCGCCTCACCCAGGCGGGAGCAGTCATTCGATGATTTCCCCCCCTTAAAAAGAAAGCCAAACAAAATCACCATTTTCTTTCATGTTTCTTTTTTAATTCTTTTTACAGGTTTTACGGAGTGAAAACTGGTTGCCGTACCGTCCTGGTTTTCAGTCACTTGAGTTTTATAGAAACGATTACAAGAAAGATAAAGGACGCGTAACAGGACTTATTTCTGAGTAAGTTGATGTATTAAAAATATAATTAAATCACTCATACTGATTTTGAAAGAGGACACCAGTGACCGCAACCTTGTTCTTTAATTGTGTCTATAATGACGGTACTCAAAGGGCTAACGGGTTTTTTGTGGGATAAGCCGGTAACCGAGCAGATGAATCACTTGATACTAAGCAATCGACGTCGCCTATGTACACCCGGAACATCGGAAGCGTTACAATTACAAGTGCGTTACCGGCCTTTTTTGAGGTTAGGAATTTGAAGGATGTTGGAGAATCGGGGATTGGGGAGATTGGGAAAGAGGGCTATTTGGGCCTCAGATAACCTCACTCATACGACAAAGCACAACGCACGCGTTGTTTCACGTCGGTTTTCTGTGAGGCCGTGGTATATTTCCGGGTAAAAAATAAATAAAATTAAAGGAAGTTTAACATTGAATCCAAGCCAAATATAGGTTACCTTTCTTTACAGGTACCATTTTCTTTTAATTGAAATTTTCTATTTTTTTTTTATAGCATAAGCCGGGAAACGAGCATACGAATCACCTGATAGTAAGCAATCGGCGCCGCCCATTGACACTCGAAACATCAAGGCGTTACAAGTGCGTTAGTGGCCTTTTGGGAATTGGGAATTTGAGGTTTGTGGAGGATTCGGGGATTCGGGAGACTATATCTATATTTTAATGTCTTATTCTCGATCTAGGAAGCAAACCTCGCAACCCAAAAATCTTTCTCAGCAATCAATGAGGTAAAATTTTTTTTCTCAGTCACGGCGAAGTATGGAAAGAGTTCCGATCAACCGTCAATCCAGTGATGTTGCAGCCTAAGACGATCAAACTGTATGCCAAAGTACTTGATGAAGTGGCTCAGGATATGATAGTTAGGTAAGTTGTTTAATATTCTTCTGCTATTAGCTTCTGCCTGCGGTCTATTCCCATCTCATCTTATTCAATTAAGTACCACCATAGGTAGGTACTATTCGTCCAGAACTAAGCACATTCTTTATCAAAATAGATGTAGTGGTTTTGGCATATATGTGCAAAAAGAATTGAAAAAGAATAGCGGTATATAGCAATAGGCTCACCCCTTATTACATGGGACTCATAATATAAATAGTGAAAAGTGGTTGTCACATTGTACAATGGCATTGAGTGCCGTAATGTGCAGCTCTGCATATCCCTTCGGGGATAAAAGGTGTGATATTATATTAACTCTAAACAATATAGTATTATGTACGGTGGCGAGCAAGTCAATCTATCTGTCAATGGTTATAATGGACTCTGGGTTTTTTGGGCGTTCTTCTTTGACAGATTGGAGTAGATCTCCTGGCCACTGTCTCTGTCTATTTTTAACCCCTAATAACAAATAATAACTAAAAAAGTAACATTGTTGTCCAAATAAATAAATTTGAAGCATCCACTTTAGAAAATTGAAGAAGCAAATATAATCATATTACAAGCAATTGCACTTCACCGACCAAAGTATGCAAGAACATACATAAGTGGAATGCTATTTTCCAACTAAGAGCCACGTGTCTCACTACTATGTAATATTATCAGATGGTAGGTAATATAAATAACTCAAAGCACTCGTGTGCATAAATTACTACAGGAATATACAATTTTCTACATTTTTTAAATATATAAATAGCCATAGAATATTCTTCCTGACGATGTTTCATTCTTGCAACTGTCGCAAATTAGATCTTTAACTGATTTATAGTCGCGGAGAACCTAACGGGTTACCGGGGCTCCGGCTCGACGTGCAGGAGAAGGAACGGGGTGGTTTTTAGTCAGTAAGAGTCTGACACTCCCTCCCGCCTCACCCCGGCGGAAGCAGTCATTCAATGATTTGCCTCATTAAAAAAAACTATAACCTTATACCGCGACTTTGTTAATATGTTTTTTGCCAAATAATATTGGCAAAAAACCTTCTAAAAGAGATCTGTCTTGACACAAAGTTTCATAAAAAAATGGGTTAAACAATTGACACGCTAAAAGCTGCCAAAACAAATTCGTTTTCTCACGAAAATACCTTTATGTTAGAAAGAAATAATAATCTATAAAATGCGCATTATTTCCTAAAACCTACTATTAATATCGTGTCCAATACATAGCTTTCCACGAAACACGAAACTCATCTAATCATTGAGTTCAATCAGGATGAGATTGGGCGGAATAATGAGAAGCATTCATTTCTGCCAAAAGACAAATGCCTTTTCCCTTCTCTCTATTTATTAATTAAATTCCCCGGATGAAATAAAGGATGTCTTTTATTTTATTCCTTCTAGCTGAGAGACAATGTGATGCTTCATTTGGAGGATATTTAGCGACCGTTTTTAATTATCACTTATATTCTCATTCGTGTTTGAATGGTTGACGAAACAAATTAATTTGTACGATCATCTGAGTTAATTAATTTCAAAGCATCAGTCTATGCGTCATGTACCTACTGTTTTTGATCAAAAACGTATTAGCGGTTTCAAAATGACATTGAATCACCAATTTTTAATAAAGCTTTAGAAAATCATGAGTATTACTCACTCTTTTTCAGGATGAAAGCCAACCGTGATGAAAAGAACATGATAACTAAAGATTTCGATAAAGAAATGAACCTATGGGCTTTAGAATCTATTGGTACGGTAGCTCTTGGCTGCCGACTAAACTCCTTCGATCCAAACCTTCCTGCAGACTCTCCGGAGTGGCAACTGATCCAATGCGTCCACGATCTCTTTTCCACAGCCAATGAACTTGATTTTAAGCCAAGTATCTGGAGATATTACGCAACACCGACTTTCAAACAAGCTATGAAGCTATATGAGCATCATGAGAAGTAAGTATTAAAACATAAAAAAAATCTTGTGTATTTGTTGAAACGTTATTGATATTGTTTTTTCTTCAAAAATACTAAGGTTGATTTAATTTCAATTCTATTAGATATATATATTAATAAAGGTCTATTCAAATGTTAATCCTGATTCTTATAATTCCAGCTTAACTAAATACTTCATAAACAAAGGAAAAGAACAATTGAAGACCAAACCTGATAATGAGAAGGGAGTATTGGAGAAACTGTTAGAAATAAATGAAGAAGTAGCTCATATTATGGCCAGCGACATGTTATTTGCGGGTGTTGATACGGTAAGTTCAAAGCTTCATAAATTATTTATGACTATTTTACTTGAGGAAGTAAACAATGCTATAGTGTGAATTCATGGAAGATATAAAAGGGGTTCATGATCACTGATCAGAACATCTAGAAAAAATTAAGAAAATATATATATCGTAGAACTATTTTAACAATAACCTCTTTACAAAAGTTTTAAATAGTTGAGTTATGGCTGATAAAGGGCAAAACGTCGTGTGTCTAAACGTGAATCCACGTGAGACATAATATATTTTCTACTAGCTTTTACCCGCGGCTTCGCTCGCGTCACAAAAAGATAAAAAGTAGCCTATGTGACATATACCAATACACACAGCGCCATCTATACCAATACTTTTGTTTTCCCTCGGGAATATCAAACTTTTCCGGGATAACAAGTACCCTATTATTTAATCCGGACTTCTAACTTTACGTCTGCAAAAATTCAAAACAATCGGTTTAGTAGTTACGGCGTAAAAGCGGAACAAACAAACAAACTCACTTTCCGATTTATAATATTATAGTAAAGATTGTGTCTCATATACAGGCATTCAAGCATTTAATCCCACCAGCAATAATCATACTATAATCATACTATAATATGACATTAGAACTGGTTTTATTTCAGGCTGCAAACACCGTAACAGCAACACTATACCTTCTCGCTAAGAACCCAGACAAACAAGCAAAATTAAGAGAAGAAGTAACTTCCAATGTGGAGAAGAGATCGTACCTTAGAGCCTGCATCAAGGAGTCATTAAGACTTATGCCTGTGGTATCTGGAAACGCTAGGAGAACCACAAAGGAGTACAATATACTGGGATACCAAGTTCCTAAAGGCGTAAGTAGATTTTTAGGTGACTTATAGCGGATAAAGGGCAAAAATTAAAGACTGTTGTTCTACCATTTAGAGGTAATGAAATTATCATCATAAATCAAAAGCTAAATTAATCCCACCAGCAATAAACACACTATGTTCATGTAAAAATCAAGAAAATAAATATCATCATCAACAGCCAATAAATGCCCACTGCTGAGCAAAGCCTCTTCTCACACGGAGAAGGTTTGAGCACTAATCACCACGCTTGCTCAATGCGGGTTGGCGATTACAAACTTATAATTAGAAATTATAAGGCCAACTTTCCTCACGATGTTTTCCTTCACCGTTTGGCAGTGGTGTCTAAATAATTTTAGAAAGTACATACATATAACTCTGAAAAAGTCACATTGGTACTTGCCGTTGGTGGGTTTCGAACCCGCACCCTCATGCATTAAAAGCGGGCGTCTTAAACCACCACGACCTATAGAAAATAAATAGGTATGTCGTAGAACTATTTTGACAATAACTTCCTACAAAAGTTTAAGATAGGTGATTTATGGCTGAAAAAAAAACAAAAATTAAAGAAGCAGTTCACACATTTCGGTATTTCCCAACCGATACGACCTTCAAACCTTCAAGAAAAGAGCGTATTCTTTTTTAAAAGGCCGGCAACTCACCTGTGGTTCCTCTGATGTTGTGGGTGTCCATGGGCGGCGCTGATTGCTTACCATCAGGTGATCCATCTGCTCGTTTGCCTCCTATTCCATAAAAAAAACACATACCTAACATATAGAGGTAGAGTTAATGAAATCAAGGTCCAATGGTCTTTGGAATAAATGTTTTGTGGTAGGATATAAATTAGCAATAAGTACAAGTATATTAACAGGCTGTCTTGTTCATAGAAAGGTTAACAGACCTCTTACACATTGAGTTTGATCAAAATCATTTGAAATCATTTGCCCTTACTTTGTCCCACTGATCCTTCTAGTCCTGTTTACTGAAAACCTACTCAATTTTAAGTTGTATTTCAATATCGTGCCATCTCTGTCATTTTACAAAGAATTTGTAGAGACAGAACAATACTTAAGCGCGACTTAAAATTTAACATTTGGACATTAGTCTAATCCAAATGGATTGCTGGGTACAATTCCAGCCTTAACGTTAATGCCCTAACCTGAATATCATATAGACCTCTTTACCCTAATATTTATAAAAAGAGTAACGAATGGAGTTTCTTGCTCGTTCTTTTCCATCCGAATCTACATTTTGGAACGAGTACCTAGTTTAACCTAGCTTTACAGACGGACTGACTGACAGACTATTATTTATTTAGTATTTCTTGACGTTTCAAAAGTACCAAATTGTGGTTCAATTAAAATAAATGCTTTGACTTTGACTTTATTTTCTGATTATTCAAAACTTTATGTTTCAGGTAGACGTCATCTTTACTCATCGAGAGATGTCCGTAATGGACAAATACTACCCAAAAGCCAAGGAGTACATTCCAGAAAGGTGGCTGACCAACAAGGATGATCCATTGCACTATGGAAATGCCCATCCATTCGCCTACGGACCATTTGGTTTTGGTGCACGAAGCTGTATAGGTATATCATGAACATGAACCATTAAATGTGTAGCTTTTTAGTAAAAACATTTTTAATAAGGTTTTAAGACTGCCTCGTTGGCCGAGTGGTCGCAAATGAGACTTCCGGGCTCGGGTTCGATTCCCGGGTCGGGCAAAGTACTACTGGGTTTTAAAAAAATTCTCAGTAGAAGCACGGAGTCTGGAATTGCGCCCGGTATATGGCAATAGACTCACCCCCTATTACATGGGACTCATAACATAAATAGTGAAAAGTGGGTGCTACATTGTACAGGGGTATAATGTGCACCTCTGCCTACCCCTTTGGGGATAAAAGGCGTGATTTTATGTTATGTGTTTTAGTAGATTTTGCCCATTATTTGCATGGAGAAAATCAGTAATTAACAAAAAAAAAAGACAAGATAAACGTGTTATGATTTACAAAATCTGTTTTTATAGATGTATGAACTAATTACTGCATTTGGTTTGCCTATATCTAGGCAAAAATAAGTGTTTTGGTGTGCCTTTGTTCATGTTTTCAACAGAATTATATTACTAAAAAGCAACTTAATCTAATTAATGGGCCGGCGCACGACCGGAGCGATACCACGGCCTCATAGAAAACCGACGTGAAACAACGCTTGCGTTCTGTTTCGTCATGTGAGTGAGGTTACCGGAGGCCCAATTCCCCCCTCCCTAGTCCCCGTCTCCCGAATCTCCGAATCCTCCACAATCCTCAAATTCCCAATTCCTAAAAGGCCGGTAACACACTTGTAACGGCTTGGTGTTTCAAGTGTCCATGGGCGGCGCCGATTGCTTACCATCGGGTGAACCGTCTGCTCGTTTACCGGCCTATGTATAAAAAAAAAATTAACCTGTTAAAATATCTGAAACATCATCCCCTAAATTTGTTCATACAAAAGTAGTCTCTAAACATCGGAAATAAGGTCTACAATGTAGTTAGTGGAGAGCGGTCACCAGATTCTCATCTGTAACTTACTACTTCGATCCAGTAAACAAACAAACATTATTGTAACCTCAAGATTTATTTTCCAGGTCGTCGCATAGCAGAACTAGAAATGGACACATTTGTGGCGCGATTAATAGAGAACTTCCAGGTCGAATGGTTCGGACCACCACCGACAGTCGTACAAGAAGCTCTCAACTACATCAAGGGTCCCTACAACTTTGTGTTTAAAGACATTAAATGAATAAACTAATTTATTTGTTCGGTTAAGTTTATTATAAGAACGATATTGATATTTTTTATGTTTTACAAATGTATTCCGACGTATGGTTAGGATAATAATTATTACAATTTTTTGATGAAATATAAAATATTATTGTTTTAATAACGAATTTTGTCGTTTTTTTTTGTCAAGCAATACTTAATTACTTGTTTAAGTGCGTAAGTTACATATATAATACTAGCTACTTCTGCACGGTTTCACAAGTTCTGCTCAGCTCCTATTGGTCGTAGCGTGATGTTTTATAGCCTATAACCATCCTCGATAAATGCGCTATCCAACACAAAAAGAATTATTCAAATCAGACTTGTAGTTACGGAGATTAGCGCGTTCAAACAAAAAAAACAAACTCTTCCGCTTTATATAATATAGTATAAGATTAGACATGCATTCTGAATATAAAGCGCAATCGATAACTTATCTATAGATACGGGTTATGATTTGATTATTTAAAAGAAATTATCAAAGCTGGGCTATTACATAACATAGTTTCCTTCGCGGTAAAAACGATGCAATAAGTATAAGCTTAACTTATAAAAATTCAATAAGTTTAGTAAACACAAAAGCACTTAGAAATAAGGCACCAAAAATTGTGTTTATGAATAAAAGATGCAATATCGCTGATCTATGCAAAGTCCAGGTCACAAAGCTTGTTTGTGAGAGCCAGAGAATCTGGACCAAACACCATTTACAATTCAGATTGTACCTTCAACTGGACAATAAGAATTAAAAGTCGTTGAACAGCTACGGTCGGTAAACAACGAAGTCTTGCGGCGAGAATGCAAAGACTGCAAGTTCGTTAGTCACCCTGGCTTGCCCATCTTGCCAGTTGGCTTGGAAACGGTGTTAAATAAATTCAAGGAGGAATTTCATTTAGTTTAGTACATTTGTTAAAGAAAATGCAGCTTTGAATAGCAATTTCTATAACTGCAAAAAGTTATCATACTTATATTTGTATTCTAAAGGTTACCTTGTAGAATTGTGGCAAATTTTTGGGTAACTCACGTCAGGGCTCTTCCGCGCCATACTTGTAGACTATTGCAAACGTTTGTCAACATATATATAGAATCTATATGTAGATGTATTTCATGAGAATACCTTCACAATATCTGGATGACTGAGCTGACTGAGCGCATCACATAGGACAGGAAATTTTCAAACATTCCAATTACGTTCTTTTTTCAAAATACGATATTTTTTAAGACTTTGACTGCCAATAAAAACTGTTGAAAGTAAATCCTCCGCTAACGTCGGTCACCGGTGACCCCCATGGCGTTTAACGTGTTAATACATGGCGTTTGCGTTTGTAAGTTTTTAGCGCCACACAATCTTTAAAAATATGGAAGTGTATTTTTCTAAATAAATTTTTAAATTGAAAATTCGACACTATGTATGGCTTATGGATAAGACTCAAATACAAAATCGAAAGACCCAATTATGGCATAGATAACTATTTGTTAGTTTTTATGTCAAACTGCAATAAGGAATAAAAACTGTAAACAAAAATAATCGAATCGATATTCAGTTACTTATTCTGAAATCTTTAGGTGCACTAAGTCAGTTGAAATAATAATCTAAATATGAATATATTTCAACCAGTCCGTTGGGTATGCCGTTAGTAATAACTAGCTTTTACCCGCGGCTTCACTCGCGTCACAAAAGGATAAAAGTAGACTGTGTGACATATACCAATACACACAGCGCCATCTATACCAATAGTATCGTTTTCCGACGAGAATATCATTTTTTTCCGGGTTAAAAAGTACCCTGTTATTTAATCCAGACTTCTAACTATACGTCTGCAAAAATTCAAAGCAATCGGTTTAGTAGTTACGGCGTGAAAGTGGAACAAACAAGCAAACAAACTCACTTTCCGATTTATAATATTAGTAAGGATTTCAGTCCTGCAAATTCCCCTCAAAACGGAAATACCATCGAAATACTTGATAGCTAGGTAATTTACCAAGATTGATAACCCGAACAAGCTGTGAGTCGGTTTATATTCATAAGATGCACCCACGCGCTATGAATACCGAGGTACGGATCAGACATTTTGCTAACCGTAGTATTTTAGGATGATAGGCTATTGGGAAGTGGGTGTCAATATTACGAGTAAAGAGAAACTGTGATTTGTTGTGACGTGATTTATCTTTTTTTTTATGTCGGTAGTAACACGGAGTCTTGAATTGTGCCCGGTATATGGCAATAGTCTCACCTATTACATGGGGCTCATAACATAAATAGTGAAAAGTGGGTGTCACATTGTACAGTGGCATAATGTGCACCTCTGCCAACCCCTTCGAGGATAAAAGGGGTGATGTTATGTGATTTATCTGTATTCTGAGTAGGTAGAAGCTTTGTAGGATTAAAGTAACCATTATTGTTGTTGTATGAACACACACAACTATATTCTAATGTAGACTGAGATTAATATGAGACTGTTTATGACTTCAAGCTTTCCACGCCTCTTAAAACCAATACCAAAAATGTATTTTGTCAGTGTTACAATAGATGGTACGTCACGATCACCATGATAATAATAGCGATTTTCAACTTCTTGTCAATTTATCAACAAGTTTTCGATCTTTTCAATGTTATTGAAGTAGCACCGGAGCAACTTATTTAAGATTGTAAAATATGACTTAAAAACAATATTGCTAAGCGTCACAAAACACCTCATAGGACGGTTTGAACGAACGATACGTAGGTGACGTCACCAAAATGCTAAAAAAGTAAGATTGTTTTAGAACTCTTTATAAGGTTACTAGCGGACCCGACAGACGTTGTCCTATAATAATAGGTATAGATAAATAATCTAGAAACTGACTGCAGCGCCATCAGCCGGGCTGATTTGTGAATCTAAACCATTCCCAGATCCCCTTGAACACACACAAAAAATTTCATCAAAATCGGTCCAGTCGTTTGAGAGAAGTTCAGTGACATACACACTCACAGAAGAATTATATATATAAAAGATTTTAAGATTTTGTGGTACGAAAATACAAAAGTCAGATTAGAATAAGACTGCTTTAAGATGTTGTGGTAGGCTCCATATTCTCTGTGGTTTGAGAGGACCAAAATAATAGTTTTAACTTACGTAAATATCGCCTGAAATCAATTTCCACGAAATACATTTGAAGTGTCAATAACGCTCTATGATGTATGATTTCCAAGTATCGCCTCACCTGGGGAAACGATTCCGGCATTCCTGCTACTACTGAGAATATTGACGACCCGGAAATAGCGGTCCAGCTGATTGTAACAATTAGGTAAATGAAATTTTGAAAATCTTCTAATTTAATTTTCATATTTTACATAAAATTTTGACTTAAAATAATCGTAAATATATAAAAAAAAATCAACTAAAATCGCAGGTAATCTCAATATACTGAGAAAAGTTCTACTAGTTTCGAACCACAGAAAGGTTCTTCCTCATGAGCAGCGTGCAGGTCACGGCGATGTCCCGCAGCTCATCGCGCGATGTGATCTGCGAGACATCGGCGCGACCGCGCACATTTTATAAGTTTCATAATTTGTTTTTAGTTGCAAAAACAGATTACGAAACTTATAAAATATGATTGGAGCCTCCCTTTAAGCAAGATATGCCTGTGTAAGGAAATTTCGCTCTTTCACAACAAGACGTATGTACATAGTAAACTTCTATAAATATAAATATCCACAAAATGTTAGGAGAAAAACTATAAGAAATATAAACAAGTCATTCATTTCTATAACTAGCGCAAACAAAAACACTTCTACATTCATTTCACTTAATTCGGTACCTACGTATGTAGGTGAGTATATAAAACCTTAGAAGCTAGTGTACTCCATTCCAGCGTTACCAAACATTGAGGCTCCATTTAGGCCTCGATAAAAGCTTCCAAACAAATGCCTTGAAAGGGTATTAGACTCCCCTCAATCCCGTATTTAACGCCTTAAGCCGTATAAGTAACATTGCTTTTATTTCCTCACTCCATTCGCAGAATAAATCGAGAACTGATACTGTTTTTACTGTATTTATTTCAAGTTCTTAGTGTGGTGACGTCACATAATATAAACACTACGCATGCTTCGAATCCCTATTATTTATTTCTTTTTTCAATTATTTATGAAGTAGTTAAAAAAGTAACTGCTACCCAAATATTCTCAACGAAAAGTAATTCACAATGAAAAGTCGTTTTTAATTCTAAATTCGAGATTCAAAATAAACAAATTCCAATGAAAACAATCTTAGAGATGCCAGAAACGTCACAATAATGACGAAAACACTTCCAATTCAGTGTTAATTTGGCCTCTTATCAGTTTGGCACATTCGGAGACCCATTCTCGAGCCAAAGACCAATTACTGTTGTAATTGGAATAGGTAGCTTCAGTAGAATATTGTAGGGTCTCCAACAAATATTATCGTTTCTATTGAACCTCGTAGGCGTTTGTTAGCTGACGACTAAAGGGTCTGTTTGGTCCTTTGTTGGTCCTGTTATTGTACATGTTCGCATTTCTTGATATAAGGAATAAGGATAAAACGTCGCAAATTGATTTAATAGTTTGATCTTTGTATGTGGAACGGGTGGATATATCTAGATGCCGATTTTGTATTGATCGAACTTATACTACTTATTCTTATCTTTTCGGGTTTAAATGAAGGTATCCAGGATGTGTTATTAAATATAGGAATGTTTAAATAAAGGTATGCAGGATTAAATAGTAAGGACGAGATTATAAATAATATGTAGTTGGATATTTAGTTTTATTTGGTCCTCAGCTGACTCTGAGTTCTTAGGTGACATCAGCAAAGTCAAGGATTGACAGAAGTAAGGATTGTACTTATGCAATTTTAGTAGTAGTCGGTAAAAAGTTCCGACGACGGCTCAAGGAGTCCGCCGAGGCAATCATTCTGCTACTGACCTCCTGCATCTGTTTAGACCAGGAGAGAGCACTGCCAATGTAAATCCCAATGTTCGTGACTTCAAAGGAAAAAGGAATTTTAGTGTTAGACATACTTGGGTAATTAGGTCGTCAGAATGTTTTAGTAGATACTGAGTGTAACTTTTAAGACGTCAGACGGACGAAAAGTAAGTACAAAAAATATAATTCCACATTTTTTGGCTTCCA